TGTTCAATATTATACTATCGATATCTATATTTAAAGTTCTGACTTTTTTTCTTTATTTCTTTAAATTTAATTATATATATTTACTTATAATTATGATCATATATATTATATATATATATTATATATATTAATATATATTAAATAAACTTATAACTTCATTAAAGTTCTCAGATCTTGCTTTTTTCTACAAATTAAGATTATCTATTTATTTATTTATAAATTTTATATAAAATAAACTTTATAACTTTTAAAGTTCCAATCTTGCTTTTTCTAACAAATTAAATTATCTATTTATATATTTATAAATTTGCATCCATTTCAATAGACTAGACCTCCATTTAAAATTAATATTTAGTAATATGGCAATTATAATTTTTAAGAAGCTTAATCTTGATAAATTCACCTTGTATTTTTAAAAAACATTTCGTGGCACTTCAAATTTTGTGAAACTCTTATTGTGCACTTTAAAGTTATGAATTTTATTAACATAACAGGCTTCTCTATATTAGCAATAATAATTTTTAGAGTTTTTAATCTTTATATATAACATATTGATTTGTGTGATTAGTATAAGTTCACAGTAATAATTTTCATTTTGGCAACTATATAATAAGTATTTAATCCATCAACTTTTACAAATTGAAACGTTCAAAAGAATCATTCAGTGTATAAATTGAAGTATTTAATAAGTATAAATTTTGCAAAGGTTTCATAAAAGATATTCGTGTCTTTTTATCCTAATTAAATAAAATCCAAAATTCTCTTGATCGTTAAGATTTTAAGACCAAAATGTGGCTCGAGGAAGATAAGGGTATCGAGAAAAGTTCATCAGGCATGACATAGAAATTCCATGTGAACAGTTTTTTTAATTGGTTCAAAAGCAAGGAGCTAAAACAATTTTTTATTTTTATTTTTATTTTTTTAAGATTAAAGTTAAGAATTTCCATTCATCTTCAAAGTAATTATTGTATTTCTTGGCTTTTAAGAAGCAACGAACATTTGGTCCAATCTATAATCCAAGCCAAAGAAAATGAAAGAGACTACCAATATATGAATACGAAAGCTAGCTAAGCTAGTGGCTATACTTAAAAGAAAGAAGAAAGAAGAAATTACCCTTATACTGTTGAGGTCAGAAAAGAGCTTATAGTTGGAAAACAGAAAAGATAACTAAACCTTAAAAAAATAATTCCAGTCCTTTAGAATAAAGTTGAAGGGAAGGCATGCGAGCCTTCCAGCAATGCCTATAATTTGGTAGGATTCCTCAGTTAACTATTCCTTGTTCAACGTGACGAACCAAAATTGTACTCGATATATTCCCTCCAGAAAGATCCATGCTAAAAATATATGACCTTTTGATGTTCTAAATTTATGCATCTTACATATAAATTAAGGCAGTAAAATTATTTATTTAATATTATTTTATTAAAAATCTAAGTAATATAATAAAATTAAGATGATGAAATAAAGCATACTCAAATGAAAAAAAAAAAAAGAAAAAAGAAAAAATTTAGTGGCTACATAGAAAAAATTGTTACATGTAGACACATAGCCCCAAGGAACATCATTTTCATTTTGATATATTATAGTTAGTGGTGTGTCACTCAAAAAATGTGGGCACAATTTAAATTTATCATCATTACCTTTCCTTTCAATTGGTACATGGGTTTCACATGGTCTGTGTTTAGATAGACATTTGACTTTCAATTTGTGTTTGCTCCCATCATGTTCATACGTGTTTCCTAGGCATCATAAACTTTATTTCATCACTTAATTAAAAAAATAAAAATACTTCAATCAATTGCTAGAATAACTTTATTATTTTTAATTGTGTGTTGGTCCAGTATTATCCACTGTGCTATTCAATGGGAGTGAAAGTGTTTCTTTGTAATCATGCATATCCCATAAAGGCTCCTAGATCAGTTCACACCTGCATAGCAATCACTCCAATACATTGTTTTATTGATTAAACAAAATAAGACGGTTTCTACTTTTTTATATTCCAATCATGACAACTATTTATGAGGGAATGCTGAAAAATAACTTTTAAATGAATTTTTAATTTTAACCTTGATAATATAATTTTTATAATAATTTTAGAGATTAAGAGAGTTTTTTTATGAAATATTAAATATTCTATCGTCTGACTTTTAACTTTTAATTAGATTTTGTTGACAATCGTATGCATTGTATTTTTGGTCTAATTCAGCTAATTAAATAACTAATGTCATTTTAAATTAAATAACTAATTAAATAGTTATTTTACTGAATACTTCTATATAAACAACTATCAACTATAGTCTGAGTGGAAAAGGCTCAAATCTCTTAAATAAGATGATCGATTATTCTATCGTTAAGAATGAAGAAAATTCTCGTTAAGAGTATTTTTCTTTTAAGAGTTTAACAGTACAAACAGGATTAGCCACCATACAATGGGTTGGAGAGATCTATAGTCTGAAAAGAAAGAATATTATTTCTTAATAACTTGTTCACACTCAGCAATGAATCGATTTGAACTGCTATAGTAATGGTATTTTTTTTATTAGAAAATGTTAAGTATGATATTATGTAGAAAATCAAACATTCTCTAGGAATCTTTCCACAATGAAATTATGGCTTTAAAATTTGGAATAAAGGAGATAAAATTAGGTCTCCATTAAGGGGAGTGGGCATGTGTATGATTTGGTTTTAATCCATTGGTGTGCTGGCCATTAAAGTTACATTTTATGTACTCTTTTCGTTTCACTTTAATAGCAACATTTGATCTGTTCAAAATAATTAAGAAAATAATTGAAATACATTGATTTTTTAAAAATATATAATAAAAATATCTAAATTGCCTTATTTAAATTAAAAATTTCTCATTTAATTTGGCTACAAAATACCTAATAAATACTCATAATTAAAAAGAAAATAATTAATATACCCTCAAAATTCTAAATGAGCACTTAAAATAAAACGATATAAAATTTTTATTTATTGCCATTAAAATAGAACAAGAGAGTATCAAGAAAATGAATCATGTATTGGCATAAAAAGGCACGTGTCTGATAATTTTACTAATTTTCCATTTATAGTTAATACGGTTGGTTCCAACTCAACTTCCAATATTAAAGCAAACCTAGAAGATTTTAGGGCAATAAGCAAAATTAGTGGCTACTCATACGCCTCTTGTCAATGGCTATAAGTAGACTTATAAATGAATTAGATTTGAATTTGAAAAATATAAAATTTTTTAAAGGTCTGAGTACTCCAACCATAATTTTTTTTCCATCAATCAAATCTTTCAAAAGTGAGTGAATGGAAAATTCAATTTTATTACATCCTTGTTTCCTTAAACATCATACTCCCTCCTTTCCACTTTAATAGTAATAAATAGAAATTTTATCTTATTATGCTCATTTAGAATTTTAAGACTATATTGATTATGTTTTCCAACTTTAACTATATTTATTAGGTATAATTTATTTTTCTATTTATATTCAAAAAGGACAATTTAGACATTATACAACTACCTTTATTCTATAATACTTATCACATTTGAAAAAATAGCTTATTCCAAAATATTTGTCACATTTGTGGTTTCAAGGAGTAATAAATGTTTTTTTTTTCATGTTTACTCATTGTATATCACCAATGATTATTATTTCAATTTAATGATTTTTTTAGAAAATTAATATTAAATTAAGGGTAATATAGTCAATTTATTCGATAATTTATTATAACTTAGACACATTGAATGGTTTTTTTAAGAAATCTAAAATTCTAAATGTGACAAGTATTGTAGAACAGAGGTAATATGTATTTTTAAAAAATTAATGAATTCCAATCATTTTCTTAATTCTTGTGAAAAGAATTAAAGTGGAACGGGGAAGTACTATTTTTTTTTTTTTTTACTTTTTTTGTTCTATTTATATCATAGTTTTAGAAAATCAAAATAGCATTAATTATTCTATTTTTTTTTTTTTTTACTTTTTTTTGTCTATTTTTTTTTTTTTTTTACTTTTTTTGTTCTATTTATATCATAGTTTTAGAAAATCAAAATAGCATTAATTATTTTTTTCCAACTTTACGTTTGTCTAAATATCTATACTAAATTTTATCCCAATTAAATGAGTATTAATTAAAGGATAATTTAGTTAATTACTCTTTTTGTTCCACTTTAATAGCAACATTTCATCTTTTCACAAGAATTAAGAAAATGATTGGAACACATTGGTTTTTCTAAAAATACATAGTAGAATACATAAATTACCCTATTAAAAATAAATATTCCTCATTTAATTTAGTACAAAATCAATATTATTTGTCTTATATTAAAGCATCACTATTAGAGTAGTACTTCCATTTCACTTTTTCATGTATTGATATAATGAAAAACTTTTAGTTATATGTGTAGTCAAAATTTAAATTTAACTGCAATTAAAGTAATGATAAAAAAAGAAAAATAAATGTAAATATAAAAATAAATTACACTTAATAAATATCGGTAAAATTTAGTAATATATTTTCAAAATTCTAAATGAGAACTTAAAGTGTAATAAAGTAAAATGTTCATTTGTTACTATTAAAGTGGAACGTAACGAGCACCTTTTTTTTTTTTTATAGAATTAGACTAATCCAATCATTTTTTATTTCTTGTGAAAAATGAAAAATTATCAAATTTAACTAAGAGGAATAATAACTTTCTAATTATTCTCAAATTTAAGTAGTTAACAAAAATTCTTGTCTCAGTGTTCATTAACAATTTTTGACACCAAGGCAAATTGTAATGGGCTTATGTAATCATCTAGGTCATGAATTGTTTGGATGTTGATACTACTTTCACCAACCACTACTAAAAGTTACATATTTTCCTTCGTATCTTAGAAACAGATCTTAGTCTTTGTTAATATGATAGAAAGGCAGTACTATTTTGACCACCTGAATTGTCCCATAATCCACTAAAACAATCACTTGTCTCTTACCATTACAAATTTGTAGTATAAATAGGTCATAAATGAAACCATACAAACTCAAAAGCTAAAAGGCAAAAGCCGAAAGCTAAGATCATGGACACAAATCTTAGAAACTCCATTCATCAATTTCTTTCAATACTTGTACTAATTTTCTCATTTCATGTCTTTGCAACTCAATCTTATAGAATTCCTAGGCTTGGGGCAACTAGGAAGCATAGCCAAACGTTTGAACCCCAAAGTACCATAAAATATAATTCTGTTTCAAATTATTTTGAGACATTTTATTACACCCAAACACTTGACCATTTCAATTATAAACCAGAAAGCTATACCACTTTCAAGCAAAGATATGTTATGAATTTCAAGTATTGGAGTGGGCCAAATACAAGTGCACCAATCTTTGTATTTTTTGGTGCTGAAGAGAATATAGATGATGATGTTAGTGGGATTGGCTTCCTTCCTGATAATGCTTCTCATTTCAAGGCTCTCCTTTTATATATAGAGGTAAAAGAACAAAAAAGAAAAAAAAAAATCAATCTTAATGCTAAACAAGCTCTAGTAATAAGTTCTAATTAATTTTGATTACATGGAAATTTTATTAAATAATTTTGACAGCATCGTTACTATGGAAAATCGATACCATTTGGATCTAGCAAAGAAGCCTTAAGAAATGCAAGCTCTCTTGGTTATTTCAATTCAGCTCAAGCCCTAGCAGATTATGCTTCAGTGATTATGCATGTCAAGAAAAAGTATTCTGCAAAAAGTTCTCCAGTAATTGTGATAGGGGGATCCTATGGTGGAAGTAAGTGCTAACAAAATTATTTTGAGGCTTTATTATATATAATATTAGTTTAACTTCTGTTAATTAAATTTTTGTTTCTTGATGCTGTAGTGCTAGCTTCATGGTTTAGGTTAAAATATCCCCATGTTGCTCTTGGTGCTCTAGCTTCATCAGCTCCAATTCTTTATTTTGATGAAATTGCACCAAGAAATGGTTACTATTCTGTTGTGACAAAGGATTTTAAAGTAAGTGAAAGAGAGATCATAATTATTTATTTAGGCTCCATATGTTTCGGGAAATATTACTTTTGAAAAATATTTTAAAGAAACAAATGGAGCCTTAGTTTCTTTCAACTTTTTAATTACTTCTTTTGCGAGAAACTAATAATCCTTCATTATTTTTATCCAATTAATTATTATATTATGAAATGGTGTAGGAAGCAAGTGAGAGTTGTTACAAAACTATAAGCAAATCATGGGCAGAAATTGAAAAAGCAGCTTCAAAGCCCAACGGACTTTCAATTCTAAGCAAAAAGTTCAATACTTGCAGGTAATTTGTGGTGTTTTTTTTTTTTTTTTTTTTTTTTTTTTGTTTTTTTTTTTTTTTTTTTTTTTTTTTTTTTTTTTTTTGGAAAATAAGACTTGCATGTAAGTAAATAGACAATCATAATATAGCGTATTAATTTTTGTTTTTTTTAATTTCTTGTTTTAGTCCATTGAAGAGAACATTTGAACTAAAGGATTACTTAGACTCAATATATGCTGAAGCAGCTCAATACAATGATCCACCAAACTATCCAGTTAGCATTGTGTGTGATGGAATTGATAGGGCACCAGAAGGCACTGATATTCTTGGCAGAATTTTTGCTGGTGTTGTTGCTTATATGGGTCATAAGTCTTGCTACGATATGAATGAATTTAATGACCCAACTGATCAAACATCTCTTGCATGGAGATGGCAGGTAATTAACCTCCCATTAAAATAAAAAAAGTTACCAAAATTTTTGCTTATGCACTATGAGATATATAGGTATTTGAACACTTCTAATAATATCATATGAAATGAAAATATATATTATATATATTTTATATCTTATTGTGTGTTTAATTGCAATAATATATATTATATTATGTCCAGACATGTAGTGAGCTAGTGATGCCCATAGGCCATGATAGAAACACTATGTTCCCACCAGCACCTTTTAATCTCAAGAGCTATATCAAGGAGTGCAAAAGCTTATTTGGAATCCTACCTCAGCCTCACTGGGTCACAACTTATTATGGAGGCCAAGTATGTATATAATAATGAACTACAAAAATTTTTCTACTCCTTTCTTGATTTTTAATTATACTTATCGCATTAATTCCACAACTATGGCAGGATTTAAAATTGATTCTTCATCGGTTTGCTAGCAACATTATCTTCTCTAATGGACTCAGAGACCCTTATAGCACTGGAGGGTAATCCAAGTCTCCTTATTAATTCTTTTTCTATATATATATATATATATGAAAAGATTTAACTTATCTTTCCATCTTTGGGTATTGCAGAGTGTTGGAGAATATATCAGATAGTATTGTTGCAATCTCTACTGTTAATGGTACTCATCTCACTTCTCTCTCTCATACACATAACAGAAATAACAAATTTTAGCAACAATGAGTAGTTGGACACTTTTCTCCATTCTAAGTAAGATCGAGTGTTCGATCCTCATGGATGAAGAAAAAATTCGATGGGAGCACTTTACCCTTTAAAGAGCCGACCTGGTGTAAACAGGATTTAGTTCTACTCTAGATAGATTTAACTGCAAGTGGGATGAAAACTAAGAAATATGCACTGCAAATCAAGTCTCCAATGGTAGAAGCTAATAACCAATAATATATTGTATATTTGCAGGATCTCATTGCTTGGATATACAAAAGGAGAAGCCAAGTGATCCAAATTGGCTAGTGATGCAAAGAAAGACTGAGGTGGAAATAATTCAAGGCTGGATTTCTAAGTATTATACTGATCTTCTTGAACTCAAAGACAGAAACTAGTACTAGCTAGTGTTTGATGTTTTATAAGTTTATATTAAAACTTATAATATTATATATTATAACCAAGAAGGTGGCTACAAAATCATATATTGTAAGAAAAATGACTCTCCTTATGTATTAACATATTATATTTCCAACAGGTAGCAAGATGATTGCCCAATTTTATCTAAGGGGTCATAATTATAGCATTTTATCTATTCTTCTTTTATATTATACTAATATTTATGAACATACACTGCACGTTGAAAAAATGACTCGTTGCAGTTACTCGTTATTTATTTTTTATACGTTTTTAAATATGATATTTTTAATTATAATACAGATGATAATAAATTATTGAGAAAAGGATAACTTATTATTGAGAAAAGGATAATAAGTTATTTTTTTATTTAGCATTTGTCCTTCACATCATTGAATATTTTGAAGTTATATATCAAAATTTCTTGTGGAATTATCATTTCATGCTCTTTGAGCATAGAAAATTTACTAAGATATTGCAATTCCAACGTTAATTTCTTGAACATTAGGATAAGCAACATTGGTTTAATTAACTCCATCAGTTATGAGATAATTAAGTCTTCTCTCTCAAAAGAGTATTTGAAAATTTCTTCCCTATAAAGCAATTGAGCGCAATAGTTCATAAATTTTAAAGAAAAATTAATATTAAACGAATATTTATTCCTAATAACCGGCTAGTATTATCTAATACTCCATTCTTTATTTAGGATACCTCAAGGGTATCGGCAGAAGTTTTATCATTAACATCACCAATTTCGTTTTCTTTCACATTCATGTTCTTTTTTATAAAACTTAAATAAAAATAGAATAATAAAATATTAAGTCAACAATCTATCTATCTATCCATTTATACTATATAAATATGAAAATATGAGAATAATAGAATTTTCGATAGTGCCCTTAATGGAATTTGGATATTCTAAAATAATCTTAATTATAGTCAATTAAAAAATTACATTTTATTAGCTGATTGAATATAATTTATAATAATTATTTTTGGAATAAATATACACAGATAATTAAGCATTTCAAAATTTTAAGTTATATCATTTTTAATAAAAAAATATATATGACAGTGAGACATTTAAAAATTTTATATTTTATTTTTAAATATTTAATAAAAATGATATAAAAAAAAAAAAATGACAGTGAGACATTTAAAAATTTTATATTTTATTTTAAATATGTTTTAATTTTAATTTTGATTATTTTTATAATATTTTATTTACGAGTGAATAAAAAAAGAATACAGTATTTTCTTTTTCTTCTTTATGTTTATATAATTTTATTAGATATATTTTTTAAAAAATATATTTTAAATAATATATAAATAGTTTTATTTAGGAGAGAGATAAAATGGAAAAAAAAATTGGTATGGCGTTGTAGGGAAAATTGGAGGGTTTATTTGGAGGGAATTAAAATGTTTCTTTTATGTAACTTTTTTTTTATTAATTAACATATAGAATAGTTAAGAATTTCAAATTTTTTTAAGTTTTTACTATTTTTAAATTTATTTTGATTAAATATAAATGATAATGAGACATTTGAATTTTATTTTTAAATATTTGATTTTATTTTAATTGTAATTTAAAATATTTTATTTAGGAGGGAGATAAAAAAAGAAAAAAGTATATTCTTTTTGTAATATTCTTTTTTAATTGATTAATTAACTTATTTATTTATTTTAAATTTGGAACTTAGAACAATAGAGAAACAAAATATTTGAGTAAACTTATTAACCGGCTAATATTAGATTCTAGCATGATTTGCTTTGTAATCTTTCTTTTTTGTCTATCAACATCAAATTTCATTAAATCATGACCTTTCAGTTAAAGAAGGGGTTGATTTTTGATATTTTTTTTTAATATCATTTGTTTTTTTTTTTTTTTTTATATCATTTTGTCTTTTTTCTTTTTTTTTTTTTTTTTTGTTATATATTGAGTTCTGAAAAGAGTTTTAATCTTAATAATAATTTTTTTTTTGTTACTAAATTAATTTTTAACTACTAGCACTTTAACTTAGTAAGATATTTATTTCTCCCTATCAAATAAATAGATGATCTTTTGATAATTAAATATTTTTAATTTTCTTGATATTTTCTCTCTTATATTCTAAATCTGTTTGACTTTAAAGAAAATGACGTTTATGAAACTGGAAGAAAACTAGAATTATATATTTATGTTTTAGGTCGCTTTTTGAAGTTTCAAGAATTTGTGTATATATTCATATATTCTTTTATCTAATACACTGATAAGTAATCATATTACTATAGCCAAAGTGATTACTATTATCAATTTAGATAACCCTCTCATTTCTTTTCTTTTATGTGGGAATAAAAAATAATTTATTATTATTTTTATTGTATTTGCATATAAATATTGATTTAGAGTTGAGGGCAGGGGGTTAGAGGTTGAGTGATGGCTTGATTTTTTTTTTTTTTTTTTTTTTTTGAGTCGATGGCCTTTGATTTTTTTTTTTTTTTTTTTTTGCGCATTTCGGTTAAGATTTTTAAGAACCTGCATAGTACTAATTTAGGCGATTGAAAGATAAGTTCAAAGCCTTGGATTAAACACTTTACTTTTGAGACCACTTCCATTATATAAAACATAAAATAATCCATAAGAAGTAGCTTTTTTTTTTTTTTTTTTTTTTTGGGCATTGGTTAAGATTTTTAAGAATCTGCATTTGTAAATTAGGGATTGAAAGATTAAGTTCAAAGCTTGGATTAAACTTTATTTTGAGACCACTTCCATTATATAAAAATAAAATAATTTCATAAGAAGTAGCATCACAAGTTTACGGTAAAGTCTAATACAAATTAATCAATTTTATTTTTTTTTTAATCTAAACAAAAATTTATGCTTTAATGTAGATAAAACATTAAAAGAGTGTAAAAAAATAAGTATATAATGAGCATAATTAACGTGCAACGCACGTCATAAAAAAACTAGTATAAATAATAATAACGATTTTATTATTTTATTATTGAATACATAAAAAATTATAATATTATTCATAAATTAAAAAAAAAAAGAGATAAAACTATGATAGTCATTAATTATGCTAATTCCAACAAAAATAATGGACAAATTGACTCAGATGGTTTGGAGCAAGAAGGGATAGGAAAATTTTAGAAGCCACAAAAGGCTTGTTTTAATTGAAGTAACTAATAATATCCCAAGTGTTACTTAACAATTAACAAAGTTTTCAACTTTCTATTAATATTGGAGTTGCTTTTGTCTACAAGGTAACGAGTTTAAAACAAGATAATCACATAAAACAAAATTAATACCTCAGCCATTAATTATAATAAGGTGAACAAGTGTTCGACACACCTTTAAATATCAAAAATAAATAAAAGGTAAAAGAAAACTGTAGATCCACGTAGATAGTAAAAGTAAATAAAACTTATTTGATATAAAGTAAAACATATATATATATACAGTAGTCATATACCATAAAGTTATAATATAATATGATTTTTAATTGGCTAATAAGTATAATTTCTAATTATAATATGATAAAACTTCTTCCATTTATAGAGTTATAATTCCCAATGTTATTTCACATTGGTTTGGTATCAGTTCATTATTCAAAATATAAGATTTGGTAATTTTCTTCTAATTGAATTAGTTTTTGGAGAACGAGTTAGACTTAACATAATATTAGATCCTACGCTATAGCATGCCATTCTCTTCTTCTATTTTATAACGCCTAATTAATATAAAACAATTCTTTCAAAATAGGTTATAGTACAACATAACGTTACAAATATATTTATTTTAAATTTAAAGAAAAATTTAAAATTTTTTCTACGGTAAATTGGTTGGTATAGGAAAGATTTGAAGCAAAAATTTATATTTATATTTTAAAATATAAAATATCTTATACATATAATATAAGGTGGACAAATGCAGCCCATATCTACATACGGTTTTAGTATTTCCAATAGAATTTTTTTATCAGTACAGTTATTTTAATTTTAAATTTATAGAAAAATTAAAAATTACTTTAATTTACAATTATAATTTTAATAATATAATTTGGATCATTGGGTGCATGCATTAAGGACCACTTTATCATTTTGATACGCCATTAACACTACATATACATATACTTAGTTTCTCTATTGGGTACTATTAGCCATTACTAGCTTCATTCAACTAGAATAGTTCTCTTTTTAAATTATGACTTATAATCATAGATATTCTTTGGTTCAATTATATCTAAACAATGATTTTTTTTTTTAATAATTTGAAATGCACACTTTTCTTATAAAAAGAATATTGAGAAATAATTTTGAAAATAAAATTATATGTTAATCGTGATTAAATTTTTCTCTTCTTTTAATATATACCGTACGAAACAAGAAAAGTTCAAAGAGTGCTTATACATTATGTGAGGAGTAAGAGGTATCAAGTTCGATTCCTCTTGACTATAAATGTTTTCACCAATTTGTGTAGCCGTAGTATTATTTCGATTATTAGACCTCTTGACGAAGAAAAAAAAAAGAACTTATACATGTGAGACTTCTATTGTAATGGGAGTCCTTAAAAATAACAAAATTGCACTAAACTTTAGATTTTATCCTGAAATTTTAGGCATAATCTTTAAAATAATATACTCTAAATGCTAAAATTCTAAAACCTACACCCTAATAAAACTGTATACCTCTAAAAATTTAAATTCTAAACCCTAAAATCCTAATAATCTAAACAGTAACACCCTAAAATTTAAATTCTTAAACTCTAAAATTGTAAACCCTAAATTATAATTTTTCTGTTTTTAAGCATCATGTATTATGTATAGACTTTTATAAAGCTGATAGAAGATGGACAACGTATGGCTTACTTTATATAATATATATTGAATATATAATTTTCAAAGTTTGATGATGAAAGATGTGCTCCAATTGATTGAGCGTTGTGTTGGTCGTTTGGCCTACAAATGGCAATGCAATAGTGCAATTGTAGGTGTGGTGGCCATTTATATATTATTATTATTATAATTAAGTTGGAAACTTCTTTTGGTACTTTTGGAGTCAATGGAGCCATAAAATTCACAGGTTCTGGAGACTCATCATTGCCTTACAAAAGCAGTCGTCTGTATACAGGGATGGCAACGAGGAGGATAGCACTTTCTTGAAATTTGAGTTAGATTCGTTAAAACT